TAAATTTCATTTCTTAATTAAAGTGATTTTTATGAATTTGTCTATTTCACTTTTTCTTTTTTTGAATTCCTTCTGCAGCCGCACAAATCTAATTGACTTTTGATTTCGACAATCAGTAGCTGAGTGGTTGCTGGCCAGCAAACGCTGCCACTACTTCATGCAAGCCAATCACTCGCTTGTCCATTAGCCAACATGTCAGTAGCAGTCACAGCAACAGCAGCAACTAAAATTGGCTACTATGCCACACATCTCTGCATGGCCGAAACAGCAAATTTCATTTTAACCGCAGATATTTGCGGTTTTCATCTTCTTCAATGTCGGACGCATTGCTGCTGACTTTTTGCCATTACATTGAAACTGATTGTTTATTTGTACTTGCATTTGATTTGGTTTTTGTTTTTTTTTTTCTTCATTGTGATCTCTTCTCTTTGTTTTACTTCCTGCTGTTTTGTTTGAGTTCCTGAATTTGCTGGTATCGCTTTAATTTATTATTTAAATTGAAAAAGCTTTGGTGTTTTGTCCAGCGCTCTGGAATTGGCAAGTGAAGAGAGGCGGCAAAATCAATTGAGAAATTTTAATGAGCTGTCTAGTGGTTCGATAATCAGGTTGAGTGGTCGACCTCAAACGAGTCAATAGCCACCCACACCCACACACATGCAGCCAGCCGCCTGTATGTAAATATGTATGTATGTTAAAACAATCTCTGCCGTACACATTTTAGTGCCATTGTCTGCTTCTCTACAACTATTTGTATAGATTGGCTGTGTATTTTGGTTTAAGCCACCTCCTCCACGGCTGTTCTTAGCCATTTGCGGTCAGCCTTGTTTGCGCAACAAAGTGGTTGCGAAGGTTGGGGTTGCGAAGTTAGCTAATACTGCTATGCTATGCAGAGCTGTCAGGCAAAGTGTACGCAGCTGCTTAGTGAACTATGTAGGTATGTGCGTACACATCAGGCTACTAATGCGATTTGTACTAATTCAATTTAATTTGGTAACACCCTGTTGATTTGAACAGATTTCGATTTGGCGAAAATCAATCAAGGAGAGGTTATTGTTTTGTGGATTCTAAGCACAGCGTATTAATATCGCCATTGCTATTCCGGAATATTAAAATGCGTTTACAACTATTAGATTATCTACATATTTACATATGTATCAAGGCTATCTGCTTGTTAGTCAGCTTTAATTTTTATTTTTTTATGTAAAATCAGATTGAATAACTCAGTGAGATGGGAGACCAGTATGTTTGTATGAATTTATATAAAAAAAAAAAAATAATATAGATTGGACCAACAAGTAGATGGGTAGGCACTGTGACCAATGGTAATCATTTATTACCACCTGGCATTGGCCAACTACAGATCTCAAAAACCTCGAATGCAAGTCGTTTTTCGAGAGTCAAATCGTATAGAAAATTTTATGTCATTGTCTAAAATTTCCACTCGACTAGTCTATTAAAACGGAAAAACTTGGCAGCACTGTGTATTTTCCGACGATTTTCGTCGTTTACTTATTTCAGCACGACAGTGGACAATGCCAACGTTATCGAGTCGTACAATTAGCCTAATTTACGACTTAAGCAATGAGGCTGAAAAATGAAAGGCGGACCCGAGTACATTCTACATACATATTCCTAGAGCATCTAGATTCATTTCTGCATCAAAAATAAAATTTTGAAAAAATTGTCGCTTACGTTATTTTGGCGGTTAGGGCTCGATATTATGAAAAACTTGTAGTCCTTTTGCCACGCCCAATACAAATTATATATCGCTGGAAAGCCGAGAAAATAAGCTATCGAAAAAAGCTATTTGCGAAAAAAAAAACAAAAATGGTGCATTGTTTAAAAAATGCAATACAAAGAAAAAAAAATTTATACAAAAAATTATGGTTCTCACCAAAAATACAGGGAAAAAGTTCTCTATCATAAGTGTGACATGAGATAAGAATTTTAAGAAAACTTGTGACTACGAAAAAGGGCTGAAATTTGCATGTTTCAACTCCTATAACTGGACAAAAACCCGCAGTAGAAAAAAATTCTTTCACACATTGGTTACCCAGTAACCATTAGCAAGAACGTGGTGGAGTTTGAACAAAATGCTGCCGTACAATTTTTTTCCTGGTAAACTTGGCGAGTTTTGCCCCATTTATAACATATATGTGAGCTTAATGCGGAGTATAATACAGTTTTTTTTTTTTTTAATAAACAGTCGAAAAAAGTAGATATCAGTCAGCGTCTTTGGAAGTTCTTCTGGAACTCACAACTCTTCGTATTCATATTCAAAATGAGGCAAAGGGGACTATCAGAAAGGTGGCTGTCACCAGCCGGGACAGGATGGCCGGATATAGTAGTGCTGAACATATTGAAAACGACAAGTTGTCGATGACGACGATGACGAAAAGTGTGCAAAATTTTTATAATTTTTGTATAAAGTCTAAAATGTAGATTTATATGGTATTTGCTAGATAAAGCGCTATACTTTTATATAAAAATAATCGCCCTAACAAAAGCAAAAGAAAAGAAGTCAAAACTGTTGAAAATGTTGATGTGCTATCTTCTGTCGCAGAGTGTAATCGCGGAAATTCTTACAGGCAGACTAGAATTTCACCTGACTTAACTGAGTTTTAGACAGCTGAACAGTGCTGATTCTGCAAGCCAGATAACGAAACTTCATGGCGTACTAAATTAATAGACTTACTATAAACACATGTGGGGAACTGTTTTCTCCAGTAGTACAAATAAAACAATAACATCGCGGAATGGTAATATATATATACATATATGTACTTACATAAATATTGAACACCAACATATGCTTCAAATTTTTCCACAAATCAAAATGAACACTTTTTTTTTCTTTGAGACAATGTATCTTTTATTTATTTTCATTAATTAGCCATTAAAGTTTATTATTATTTATTGTATTGTTTTATCATTCCATTATTTTGATTTTATGAACAATTTAGCCAACTTGATTTTGTGTGCTTGTTTTGATTAGTTTGACAATTACTTTAATCAATTATTAATTACAATGGGGTTAATGGCGGAATTATTATTTACTTTGCAATCACGATTAAATGCTTTTGCCATTAATTAAATACTAAAAAATATTTATATGCGATTGTACGCTGAAACATTCATACATACTTACAACTAAAGCGTACATATGTATGTACATACATATATTTGTATATGAATTTGCTTGAAACAAATGAAATCCATAGATACACACATATGTATGTATGTATGTATGTAGATGCAAATACATTCACTGTATATACCAGTTCTCCATACTATATATCACCGTTATCTTTCAGCGATTTATATAAAAAAAAAACTTAATACACACTTACAATTTATATTTAAAAATTTACATTAAAAAAAAATACAAATTAATTTTTTCCTGCACGCAATGTTAAATTTTTTCTTCCATTTTGAAGCGGACAACCTAAAAACAGGGAAAAGTTAAATTTACGGCTGGTCAAGTTCATTGGAAAATATTTAATTTTTTATTTTTGGTTTTGCTTAAATAATTGCTTCTGCAAATATACAGTTTAAAGTAATGGCACATATTTATGAAGTGCATTTTTAAATACTTGTATTTTTTCCAAACTATTAATTCCATATTGACTTTGTGCTGCTTTTTTTTCAATTGGTTTTTAAGTGTTTTTAAGCGTTTTTAAATTGCGATTATTTACAAAAGTTTTATTATTTACAAAATTTTTATTTTTTTGCAAGCTATTAAATTTATTTCGCAACATTCGGCGAATTCATTTGGTTTTGGTCTTTGTTTATTTTTTATTGATTTTATCTCCTTTTTCATCAAAAGTATTTAGGTATAGTACACTTAAAGAGCAGATATTTAAGTTTTAAGAAAGTTTATGTTTAGTTGAAATTTTTGGTGAACATTATTAAGTTAAGTGGGCAATTGGAATGCGAATTATTCTATATTTTGTTGATTTTCACACTCTGCTTTTTTTACACAATATTATACGTTCCTTTTTATTAAAATTACCATTTAGATCCGGAAGTTTTGGAAAATTTAAGACCCGTAACTTTTTTTAGTAGAATTATTTCTTTATTTTTTCTTTAGTTATAGTATAGAAACTGAACGATCGAACTCTCTTTTCGAAGTGAACGGCAGCTGCAGCGAAAAATGAATTGAGTGATAAAACTAGTTGTGTATATTTGAAATTTAGAAAATTTTACTTAACAATTCGATAAAAAGGACCTCTCGGTTTCTCAAGTGAATACTATATAACAGATCAACAAAAGTTTTGCGACTTTCGATGTCTGGAGTTTTCTAATTTAGCTGTTGCTCGGACCAGGGATCGAACTCAAGTTGTATAAATTGGTAGTACGCACCTCTAACCACACAGCCACAGTGATTGCCATAGTGCTAAATCATACCTAAATTAACTCATACCCCCAATGCAACCGTGCTAGATATAGTTCTACTGATAAAAAGCTCAGACTGCTTGTTTAAATTTTATAAATAGGCTTGCTTTTTTAGAGATAGTTATCAAAAATTATGAGCGATATCTGCATCCATAAAAGAACCTTAAAAAATATGTGAATTGGAAATTTTCATTGAAAATTTTTAATTTATATTCTCGCCTTCGATGTACATAGGTCTCGTTAAATTTAACAAATTTATCCTTCAATTTCTTCCACGAATATTTTTATGGCTTCAAAAGACCTCAATGAAATTTCGTTCGATCAACGCTTTCGACCACAGTCGAAGAACGTATGCAACTCATAATAGGGGCCTAAGGCTCCAGTCGATTTTGAACAGTAAATTCCAGTTTTGGACCACTGTGCGGCGCCTGTTTACACTAGCGGTTCTCATCACAGGCAAGAGGTATAAATTCTCTTTAAAAATAATTTTTGTTTGGAATATGCGTGCCTCAAGTATGTATTTTCCTTGATTTAACATTGATTTCAAAGAGAAATTTGAAAAATAAAGAAAAATTATACATCGTCATTCAAATAGACATAAAAAACATTTGACCAGCTTAATCGAATGAAATTTGTTGCGATGTGTAATGCTGACTACACACGAGGCACGTTGAAGCAACGTGTTTTTCTTGTTCAATACACACGAGGCAACCATAACGGCAAACTCAGTAGTGTGTGCTCTGTTATGAAATGTATATGCGGAAGAAAATTTTGTTTCTACAAAGACACTTCTTCAGTTCGCTTGTTTTCAATGAACTAAGCCAATAAAATCTATACATAACGATACACACGAGGCAACCAATTCGGCAACTAACATAAAATATCAAAATCACTTGATTTTCGGGCGACGGTTGCGGCAACACGCATTTCTATGAGTCACAATGCTACACACGACGCAACGGTCGAAGCGACATGCCCTAGTTGCTTCAACGGTTGCCTCGTGTGTAGTCGTCATAATAAATAGAAACAATTAAAAACCACTGATAGCCTTCTGCTAAGTGAGCAAGCTATATGAATGTGAATGAGACTGATTACTCAATTAAAAATAATTGCGTAATTGAAATGGAATTAGTAGAACATAATCGTATTTCTTTAAACTAAATTTTAAAATTCTGTGTAGAGACATATGTTCACCAATAAAGACATCACAACGACCATCCACTTCGAGTAGTTTAGTACGTTTTTGAGTTTTGTCCTTAATATCTATAGATAAATAGTTTTTGATTGGCAGTTACACAACATTTTTTTTTTTCCTTCTCCTACATAAACTTTTATGATAAATACTTCATTGTACGTGGTATTTCGTATCTGGTCACACTCCACGCGTTACGTAATATAAGTAATCATGTATTTAGTTTAGCTTTGCCTTCAATTTTTGGTATAGTTTTTTTTTTACGGAAGTGGTGCATACTACGTATGTATATACATTTATTGCCTGGATCCATTTATGAGTTTTCAAGAATTGGATTGAGGCAATTTATCTTTGATCTATAGAAATACTTTGCATTTAATTTTTTTAATTGTTGCTGCTAATTCTTTAGGCATTTGTTTTTTTTTTGTCTGATTTCTGTTTAAGTTGTATCCATTGTGCAGCGATTCGACTTATGATTACTGCAATTTTAAGAAGTTCTACTCAATTCAATTTCTTAGATTTACTTACGCACACTTAACAGTTAGAAATTAGCAATCAACATTTATATGCGGCATTTGGTTTTTGTTTTTTTTTTTTACTCAAATCTATTACCATCCATTTTACGGAAGCCGTGTTTTTTTTCTATATACATATATATTTTAAATTGCTGCTCGACATTTTTTCTCGGTTACTCCATTTTAAATGCTTAAGATATGTGCCTACGACCCATTTATGCTACTTAAAATTAATTTAATACGAGTACAACTAATCTTACGTTAAAAGTTATGCCAATGTCTAAGTATAAGTAGACGCCTCTACGTAATTCTAACATAAATGCAATTTATAATAAATATTGTTAACCCTAAATACGTGATATTTATAATGAAAATATATACACAGAGACGAGAAGAATACTCTCATGCATTCTAGTCTTCTTCCCCTTCGCCCTCTATCTCCCTCTCTCTCTCGCACTACGCACTCTTCACCCCACCTTCTCACTCACGCTGCTGTTTGCATCGACTCTTATTCATTCTTACTCAGAAGTAATCCATTTTGGGCGCGTCCAAAGCGGTGTGTAAGGTGAGTGTAACGCCACGATTAATGCTTACGGCCGGGTAGAAAACGCCGTACAAATCTCGGAATGCAACGGAGCCCTGTGGCATTTCATTAACCAGGAAGCTTAAAGTGTGTCGCTCCAGATCGAGTAGCACACCGATGGTGCTGCCGGTGGTGATGCCACCTTCAACGCGTCGCTCATGCACGGAATTATGTTGGAACCACGAACGTTGGCCGTCAATGTACATGGCAAAGGATTTTTCATCTTTGCCTGCAATGAAAGGAGAGACACAAAAGGAAAAACTTTAAGTATTTACATTTGAGTAGAAGTAAAAAAAAAACAACTGATGTACAACAATGCGCATAAGTAGTCCCGCTGGCAAAATTTTTAAAAACCTTCTCGACACCGCCCATCTAGACCATTTTGAAATCAGTACAGAGGGTCTTTGGTTTTTTTCGCATTTAACCACAGCAATAAGGTTTTGAGTCCTCACGATAGCCTCGTCTGGTGCAAGTCATTTTCACTGCAAATATGTATGTTCTTTGAATTTTCTTATATGATTACTAGACGGCGGTCTGCTCTCTCCGTCAAGCTGCGATGGCCCAGTGATGCCAAGACGGCACGTCATTTCTGAACAATTGTCGATTTGACTACTTTGGATTTTATAGCTTTGAAAGCCACTAGGCTATTGAAGGATACTAGTGTTCACCCAGCGGTTAAAATTCTAACTTTTAAATTAAGGGAAGTTTACGTGGGCTTGAGTTCAGTTGAGTAGACATAATAACAGATTCAACATAGTGTAACATAACATAACACAACACAACATAATACAATACAACACAATAAAACACAACACAACACAACAAATCACAACACCTCGACCTCCGAAACCCCCTAGTACGAAATTTCTAACCATTTCTTTAAACCTTGGAATTTTGGCCGCACTGTGCAGCGGGGCGGCATTGATGCCAGTGAAGCCTAGAAGCAACACGATTATATCGCTAACACTCTAACAACCCGAAAATAGAAGAAAACTAAATGCATACTTAAGAACAAAAGTAGAAAATTCTCAAAATGGAAACTTACTGCCGTCCCTAAATTGGAGCGCTAAGCGTTGCGTTATCCATTGTCAACGAGTGTCATCGCGCGCTATACCCAAATCAACGCGTCGTCAATTTTGACGTTTTCTCATGTCCTCTCGTTTTTATTCTCGTTTCCTTTTTCACTTCTTTGTCCGTTCTCTTTCTCTTCGTCTTCTGCATCCAACTTCAGCACGTAACGCCCTGTCAAAAATGAAAATTCCATTTGCTCGGCGTTAGCGCCGCGTTATTGTGGGATGCTTCATACAAATTGTATGGGCATGAGGATTTTTGACAGTTGCTTGGCGCTTGACGCGCCAATTTAGGGATGGCAGTTAGATGCGCCAGACGAGGCAACGACATAGCACAAACATTCACACCTACAACATACCAGTTGCCTGCCAGTCTACGGCGCTTAAGTGCCGGCACTTCAACTTCACGAAGACGCCAATAAGCTGCGAACGAAGGCTAATAAGAAACTTTTTCATTTGGAAAAGTGTCGCCGCACACCACACAAGACAGGCTAGGGTAGACAGGGAGGGTATAAACACAACTTTGTATCTATGCTCCGACTTAAGTACGGTTGTGTGAGTGAGGGTGTATGTAAGGAAAATGTTAAAGAGCCACTGTCAACTTTTCTTTGTCATTAAATATCGACAGGTAAATAGAAAAAAGCGCACGCAAAATTGCCAATTTCAATTCGATTGGAAAGTGTCTTCGATACGAGTACATACCTAAAAGATGCTGAAAAAAGTTTGAAAATATCTCGTCATGCATATACTTACTCGTAGCAGTGCAAACACAACTTGGCACTTTGCGCAAGAAATCAACAGAAATGGCAAATATTTGTTCGAGGATATTGCGTAGCGCCAACGACGGCCGGGCGGAAATGGCTGAACGAAACAAAAGCGACGTTATTGCAACCAAGCAAAAAAACACTGACAAAACAAACTTAGTTGGATAAGTGAAAAAATTAAATAATTGGAAAACAAAAATAAAAGATGTATGGAAGTTTTCAAATTAAGGTGGATTTTGATTAAAAACGAAATACATATGCAGCTCAGGTGTTGACGACTTTTGGAAGAGTAGCAAGTTTATGTCCAACAGGAACGAATAAGTTTAACAGAAGGGGGCAGTATGCGATATGACACAAACAGTTTGATCAGTTTTAAGGAAATCTGTACTCTCGAAAATCTGGTTGGGTATAATTTTGGAACAAGGGAACGTGAAATTTACGTCAATCTCTGTAAGAAGTTTTACAGAAATTCCCATTCTAGTTTTTATCGCATAACTGTCATAAAACTTATGCGGAAAATGTATATACATACATACTTTTAATAATTTATTCACCAGTACCAAGTACAGATAATCGCGAATAGCAAAACGTATCAACAAGTTAAAAACATTTTAGGTAAAAAAACATTTTTTTAAATTACATAAAAAATTTCGTTCAATAAATTAAATTGCAAAATGTTTCAGAAATTACCCAATAAATATTGTAGAGAAAATTATCTGCGATATCCAATATGAACGTCATAACCCAAAAAAACCAAAAACTCAAGAAAACTGGTTTTGAAGTTTTCAATTTACTTACATACATACATATATGTACTCCACCTAGTAAAAATTAATACATATTTGTTCTAGTGAACTACTGGTAATTGGTACAGCTACGAAATTTTTACGCAACATAGAAGAAAAGGTTAGCAATCTTTTGCCTCACCATCGATATTGACTGAGGTAAGTAAGAGTGTGGCCTCCGACTCGATAACTTGGCCATTATCCAGCATAATGGAGCCGTCGATATCCAATGCATTCTACCATCGTTGTAAATTCGAAATTCGGCCCATTCTCGAAGAAGATTTTGGGAAAGAGAGCTTACCTTTCCTTTAGAGAATGAGCTTACCACATTTGTTTTCTAAATTTGCATTTAATTTTTAAGTAAAGTAGTTTATAATTTCAAAGTAATTTATAAATTAAAAACTTTACATGCACTTTTTGCTATAAACTTTTATTTTAAGCTTGTAGAAGTAAACTTATTGCCAGTTTATTTCAATAACTAATTTAGAAATGCGTTTAGATCAGATTTCAACTAGAAACCAACCAAATTAACCAAATAAAAACTAGGACGCAACATTTTAGCAAGTTTTGGCTTCTTTCATAAGTTTATGCAATATTTATTATTTTTTTATGTAAGTTTATGTAGTATAGCTCATTACTTAACAAACACGATAGAAATCCAAATTTCAGAGTTTGTGCAAAAATTATTAAAACTTCTTCATTGGCCAAAATTCCTAACTCCTTAATCAGCAAATTGGAAAAATTTGGTGTCCAGTTTTGTAGCCCATTCAATTATAGAAAATGAAGTGCAAATTTGGAGGAGTTAGGACTTACCGTTGATTTTTGCCAATTTTTTTTATTGACGCTGTTCCGCTTTTTTCCATACAAAGTATGTTTGACAATTTTTTTTACATGAAAAAAGATGCGTGACAAATACGTTAACAAAAATAATGTCAAACATCAACGGTAAGTCGGAGATACTATTGGTTGCGATAAATAGGTGACCTAGTTTTTAATCTTATAAGTAGGGCTCGGAATCTCATGCAGATGCATGTTTTTATTGGACATCTGCAAATGGTTAAGTTATCATTGCGAATCATGAAATGTCCTTTAAAATGGCATTCAATCGTTAGTGCATGGTTTGGCATATTTTGCAAAAAAAGTGCCTGTCTTTGCATATTTATTGCGCATATTTTAGTATATTTTTACAAAAAAAGGATATTTTTCCTTTTTTGATTTACGACCATTTAAATTTAGTGCGAAATATCTTGACAAAAAAAATTATCTATACGTTTTTCCCAAAAATTCATCTGCATATCTTCTCTGATAGCCAAGCGGCCATTAAGGCACTCTCTTCTATCTCTGTTAGATCTCAACTAGTGGGAACTGTAGGAGAGAGCTGGCCCATAACTTTGATCAATACGAAATTACCCTGATATGGGACATTTACGGAAATGAGGCAGCGGACGAAAAAAGGTTAGTTTATTAATTTCAATTTCCCCGAAGTGCATTGCGCAGTCTGAAACTTCACAAAGCGTTTAGAATGCTTCTGCTCGATTAATTGTCATTTACCGTTTTTAATATATATCAGCGAACTTGCACCGCGCGAACGAGTTATTGCTCCTGAATGGCATTGAAGAATCCGCAAGAAAAACTTGCAATAAAATGACAAACCAATTGCGCCACTGAAGCAAATCAAAAAGTTATGACCGCCCAGAGGCAACAAGTTGGAAATACTTGAGCAAACTTAACCCATCAGCGAGCGAGAGTGCATATTCGTACATAGGTAACGCTTAAGATCCCCACTGCCATCCAGCCACCCACTTTCACTTACCTAACATTTTGTTGCGATTGACATCGATGCGCGCCACACCGAATGCCGGGTCCGTGTCCATGGTGTACTTGTCGACGGTGAATTCCCAATAGTGGATGCCGCGCGAGAAGCCCACCGAACCCAAAGCGACGCGGTGCTCCCAACCCTCCACCGACACTGTGGCATTGTTGTTGCTGAAGACGAGGCCAGAGCCGGCGCCGCCGCTCAGAATCGGATCGAATGTGAACCAGGCAACTGTGGAGAGGAAAAAAAAGAAGAGAAATGAAAAGGAAAGATAAAAAATGTACACTCAACGAGTGTGGAGAGTTTATAAATTGAAATTTTATTTTAGTACAATAAACTTATCATAATAATAACGGCAACAGTGCGAATGCGAATGCGATACAGCGAGTGCAGCTGAGCACTTTGTTGTGAGAAAAAATTTAGCAAATTGATTTAACAACAAAAAAAAAAACAACAGAGAAAAATAAGCGTTAATAAAAGTGTGCATTTGCAACAGTTGTGTGGCAACTTTGAGTGCTGTCATCGCCATCATAATCCGTTGCGTATCTGCTGTAAAGCGCCACGAAGTATGCTACAACTTTTGCACTTCCACTAACAGCAAAATCCAATTGCTGGCGTATTTATTTGCGTACTCTTTCGTTTTATTGTCGTTGCTTTCCTTTTCTTGCCTTTCCTTTTATTTGAGTGGGCACTTTTTTGATTGCATTAACCATTAGCTTTTGATGGCGTTCGCTTGTTGCATTATTGAGGATTTATTAGTTGCCACAAATTGTAGCAATTGTCAACTTATTGCTCACTTACGAGTATTGTGGGCTTTTTTTTTATTGGCAGCAAAGAAAAGTTAGCTATTGCCAATTGTGGGGAGGATTATGCTGAGATTTATTGAATTGTTAAATAGTTTAGTGCCCAAGTTAATATAAAAGTTTGAACGCGGATGAGGATAAGAGCTCAATGGAGCAACAAGTGACGTACGTAAATGGGTGGGTGTGAAAAGGGTGATGAAAATAACACCAATACTATGAGAAAAAAATTTAAAAGTTTCTTGAATTTAATGAAGTGAAGAGTTGTTACATTTTTCGATAAAAAAAAATGCTTTTGGTCGAAAATGGTGGCACACTTAGCTTAGACAACGCATATTGTTCAGTTTTGCATAAGAGACAAGATTCCATTTTTTTTTTGCATTTGGTGGCACACAAGGTTTATCACTCTAGATTGGTTCGTTTTGGCACAAAGAACATTTCCACCGTTTAATGTTGATATCTTGAAGTATCTCAAATTTTTAAAATGAAAAAAATCGTTACATTTCAAAAATTACAAAATGTAAGTTCCAGCCAAAGTTCAATTCAGTTATGTGTAACTACTGGAACGGGTTGAGCAAACTTAAGGCATGAAATGGTCTTAAGACACATAGAGAGTAGACCACACGTTACGTTATCTTCTGTTGCTCGCTTCCAGCAACGACCCTTGACTCAACGTTCACGCGAAATGTACTTAGTCGGATCAATGCGTCCGTTGTATATATATATATTTTTTTTTTTCATTAATACTGTTACTTTGGTCGGCTTGATGCTTCACACCTGGCAATCGAATTTCGGAAGGGTACTACAAACCGCATGTTACCATCAAGGCGAGGTTAATCCGAGGGATTTCATTTTGGCTATTTGGCAATTCTCGGATCAGGTCAAAGGGCGCGTCACCAGAACGCTAAGAAAACTGCTAAAGCCATTGCACCATTCGCTATCAACAGTGCCGAAATTCAAATGATCAGCGGAAAGGCTAAGGCGTTCAATTGGGGCCCGAACGAACTTAACAGGCTGAAGCTAAAGTGTCTGGGAACAGTGGAAGTAAATTACTTTCATTAAGGTCATTATCTGCCAACCTAGGGAAGTCACGTCGCCCGATATCTATCTCTTCGCCAGTAGTAAAGGTCGTTGAGTCCTTGTTTCTCTCATCGTTCATATACCAACTGAGCCCAACAGTACGCCAGGATGGATTCCGTAAAGCGCATTCTACTACCGCCGCAATTATCGGCCTTAACACGCAGATAAACGCAATCAAGCAAAAACCAGCAATGCCTGCAGGAGCTTTACGGAGAAAAAGTAACAAAAATAACGAAACTACTGACAGCCGCCGCATACCAATTAAACGTCCGAGCTAGCAACAACACAAAGTACTGAGCGCATATTCGTACATACATACATACACATTCATTCTAGAGCTATAACTGGTGGCTGGTGGGCTAAGAAGTTGATTGATCCCTGCGGTTAGCGTGAACATCAAAAGTGGTATAAGGTGTCAAGCGGTGTAACGGTATTTCATTTGTAAGGGTGTGGCAGTGAGGTGAGGTGGTGATCTGCTCATTTGTAGCAAAAATATCTGCCAGTTGAACTTATTGCTGAAGTAAGAGCAAAAGCAGAATGTTTGATCCCCACCATAACAACCACAATACCACTTAAGCACCTGCCAACTTTACATATTTACATACGTACATATATTACGCTTAACTTTTCATGCATAGGCTCCCTATTTTCACGCCATTTTCACTCTACGCGCCTACCAGAGGAAAATTGCACGTAAACACCGTTACAAATTTATTCATATCATACTCTACAAGTTGTTGTTGCAGGATTTTATTATTTTTTTTTTAATATAAAAGAGGTCAATGGTTGCTTTGCATGCAAACTTGTCAGTCACTTGCGAGAAGTAAGCAAAAATACACCTGGAAAATACTTGGCAAGAAAAGTACTCGAATATACAAAAGAATTATGAATTGAAATGTTGCCACGCAAAACCGAAGGGGAGCGGCAAGCTCGAAAACGATAATACAAGATGAGCTGAATACCACTTCATTTTATTCATTTATTGCGTAGCAACACCATTACCACTTTCCCACTTTCATTGCCTTCCACACTAATAGGCGCAGTGTCTAATGTTTAACATCACTTTTACAGCAAAACTTAAGTGTTCTTAGAATCCCTTACGCTGACACTCACACCTCTCCTAGATACCTCACCTTCACCGTTGTCGTTTCTAAGTTACCGCGTAGCCGCAATGCCGCTGAACACATCACCTGGCACTCCTGCCTGTCAACTACAATTCTAAGCTCAAAAAATATTAGCAACCCTTTTTCCACTTTCGCACCCAAGGATGTACTCTGCTTTTGCTGTATTCATTCGAGTCGAAATTTTAGAAGCTTAATTGAAATATTGAATTCTATAAGTAAATATGTAAGATTGATGCGCAAAGTAAAGCAACGCGTAAATAAGCATTTTCCATATTTGTACCGAATCACCGTTTAAGGTGGTTGAGAACTCCCATTTCTTGTTGTCTTCTAATTAATTTACAAGTACATACATACATAGATATGCTACTTCAGTTGGCTGTTTTGTTTTTATTCACTCACCTTCCGCTGTTTGTAATCCAATGAGCTCCGAGTATTCACCCTCGCCGGCATTGTTGAAGGCCTTTACGCGCGCGTTGTACATTGAATTGAAGTGGAGACCGTCGACGGTGCAAATTGTTTCCTTGCCGCAATAGACCTCCTGAGGAGTGTAAAGCGAGAATATGAAAAATTATTAATTTGTACATAAATATGAAAAGACATACATACATACATATGTAAGTAAGCTGAAAATTTAAACACAACTCGGACTTGATTATACATAGAAGAATTATGGAGTGTCTTCATGAAATCGTGAGGGTACCAATTTCAGTAAAATTTCAAGAAATCTTATATACTTCTTTTTGGTTGTTTGTGTTTCCGACAGGGTAGGAAGATGGCACAACGCCGAAACCGGTTGGCCTCCAAACCAAATTTGACAAGAGATGACGGAAAATCGTTCAACATCAATTTTAAAATTGCTTGGGTATCTTTTAGTCCGTGTGGTACGAATCAACATCGTCTCTGACTCCTATTGCCGTGGCTGGATTACGTGGTCGAATTACCTCAGCATTTTCTTTTCAACTGCCCTGCCTTCGTAAGACTAAAGCTTAAGTATTTCGGCCCAAGGAACTCTCAGGTGCGCATCAACTGCCTACAAAAATTCGCTTTGAGCGACCAGTGTCTTTCTTGCCTAACAACTTCATATGGATTGCCATCAGTTACCGTTCTAGGAAAAATCTTTTCAGTGGCAATACGCTTGAGGTTACCCAAGTCATCAAAATATGACGGAAGATCAATTTTCATTTGACTTCGCTTGATAAACATAAATCTGAAAATTTTTGCCTGAAAGCGCTAAGTTTTTTTAACTGAGCCTCTTTTTGGAAGAGTTTGTACATATTACGACTTTTATTTATTAGGCAAACTGGATTTAAAATACACAAACAATATCGGGATTGAAACTTATATTGAAGTTGGCCGGATGAAGCTTTACACCAACCTTAGGGCATATGGTTCGGTATTACAAGCTAAAATATCTACAAATTATTATGCATCTCGGGGTATAGTACCAGATACCAGGGAATGAGGTAACTTGCATTGTGTGAGCTAAACAGTTATGTTTTCTCAAATCCCCGTTTCAATCGAAATACATTTGTTTGCGAATGCCGCAATTTGGTCCCTTCTTATAGCATAAATTCCGTACTCACCCTAAACTCGCCACCACTGCCATCGTCCAACTCCAATACATAACCATCGACGAAGGAATGAGCCGGTGCTTGCCACGCCACTGTAACTGAATTATTTTCCGCTGAGCAATCCTCTGGAACAATTGTTGGTGCTAAAGGTGCTGTGTGGTGGTAAAATGGAATAAAAGAGTATTTTAGTTAATTTTATTTTCACTGAAATTGCTTGTGAAGTATTTATGTAAAGTAACTTAAGAGTGTTTAGGAAAAAATTGCTTTAAGAAATTACGAAACAGTAAATAAGTTGGAGCAACTAAACGAATAAATAGCAACCAATATGCAAAACTAAACTCCCTTTCAAAGGAAACAATTAACTAACTAAAGTTATACTGAATTAAAAAAGGTTAACAAAAAATTGTTCCAACGAAAGTTAGTAAATGAAAACTTTTTAGTTTAGGTGAAGAAAAGTTAAAAGTGCGGGGGTGAGTAAACTCAGCGTAATAAAAAATGTGTTGAGCTTAAAGGCGACCGCAGAAGAAGTTGCAATTTAAAATAAATAAATTAAAAAAAAAACAAAAGGAGCAACACACAAAAAACTTAAAACGTCGCAGTGCACTATGGGAAAAAATGTTCATATTTTTGGCACAAAGTCCAATTTTTTTTGGTGTTGCATTTTCAAATTTAACCTATTTCCTAAATCTGAATTAGTAAAAAACCTATTCAATTTAAATCCTGATGGCAACAGTTTTTCATTAGAGTGATTTCAAAGTCAGCTGATTCAAATTCACATTGTCTTAGAAGAATATAGAGGAAATATTACTTTACTTTAAGTTTTTGTGGTTTGAAAAGTTTAACATTTAAAAAAAGTGTTATTGTGGAAAACATTAGTCCAGATATGTAAAATTATGATTTGATGGCCTCTTAGTTATTATTGTGTATTGGGTATTGTAATTGAACATAGAGAATAACTTTTAAAGGGCAAGCCAGTGCAAAGACTTTCAAATGACAAGTTATTAACAAATGTGTAGATTAATATAAAAATAATCTTTCTTGGCCCATTTTGCCCCCTTTTGAAAAAATCGCATTTCTTTAGAGATATGCGTATTAAGCTAGGCTTGCGCGGCAGCGAGATATAAAACTTTTTACAGAGTGAAACTTAAATACTTTGCAGTTAAAATGTAATCATATATGTTTCACTAAATAGATAACTGTTTTCAGAAGTCTAAAGTTTGCGAAACGAATTTCAAGAGTGTAGCATCAAAAACAACGAAGTTGGTATAAGTTTGCCAGACCACTCGTAGGGCGGCTATATGATACAGTGCCTCGAATCGAACAAAATTTGGTAGGCCAGCTCAAAACTCTATAATACATATCTAAAACAAATTTTGGGCTGTTATCTTAATATTTAGACTTTATTCCGAAGAAATCAATTTTTTTCCCCATAGCGCAGTGGAGTAGTAAAAAAAGTAGACTAAAATTTGTGTAACCAAATTTGCATTTGACATTTTGTGTCCTAGGCTGCGACCAATTGTCCCCTTCTGCAAACCATTGAAACCAGAAACAAGTCAAATGGACGTTTTTGCATTGCAATAAAAAACATCAAAGAACTGATACACTGTGCATTGCATTCGATCATCTTAAAAAAAATGTAGCCGCCCAGCATTACACTTGGACTATTTGTATTATAAATCATCTATCGGTATTACAAAAATTTAGTTTTAAATCTATTTTTGATTACCGTTACAAAACAATTATCCTTATTAGTTGTATTTTTTGTGGACAATTGAGATGCGTCAAAAAAAGTAACTGGAGGGAGAAAGCAGCGTGAGTACTCAAAGAAGTGCCAAATTGCAAGTTCATTTAAAAAAATTATTCCTATTCTGACCTCCTTAGCTGCCTCTAAAGCCGCTGAAGCATCCTGCTAGCTTTGCGTAGCCTACTAGTATATTTATTGCACTAAGTACTCTCCATGTTTGGGCGTTCTCTAGAGATGAAAAACTGTGGCACTGAACCGTACTCCGCTCATACTTCCATCAGAGAAAATGTACATTTGTATGTTTTGTTATATGTGGGTGAGTTCATAAATACTGCATACCCATGGAAATATGGACAAATGTATGTACATTAGACTGCATCACCAAAAAAAGTTGCGGTTTTTCCGCCAGAATTAAAAAGTCTATTATATTTTAAGACGTCCACCAAAATATTTCGGAAAAATTTAAAAGATTTAAGCGGGCTGGACGGATTTGAAAATACCTCCAAAAATGGAGTTTTTTATGAATAAAAATTGTTTCTTAAAGAACTTTTTGAAAAAAGCCCCCTCAGATGACAATGCAGATTAGACTGAAAAAAATCTGCATAAAAATATTTAAAATTTGATGCTGTCTTTTTTACATTTTCCAAACATTTTCCATTGATTTACGAAAAACTTAAATAACTGGGCCAAAACTATTCTGATTTAGACTTAAGGGATCTCGGTGGAAAGGTATTTTCCCCACTATTTTTATTTATGTGCAAAAAAAAGTCATTCGTGTCCCAATTTTTTGTTTTTTCAATTACCAACACATCTTAAGACGTCTTAAAATATAATAGATTTTATAATTCCAATGGAAAAACAGTACCGTTTTTTTTTTTTTGTATGGGGAGTGATGCAATCTAATGTACATACTGCACACGAATTTTTTCACTTGCTTAAATATTTTATGGCGCCGAAAGTTGTATAACTCATAACGTCAAATGACAGGTTGTGGGAAATTGCCAGCGAGTTGTCCCAACACAAATATATAACAAAATGAATGTTTGCACACACAAATTTGTGCACATGGCTTTGAGTTCATATGTAAAAAGTCATAAATTAAATTTGCCGCTGAAAAGTAGGTTAAACAACAAAATGAAATTGCGGTAAAAGTCAGTGAAAATGTGGTAACATTTAGTTATGTGAGCAAATAAGACATACAAAAGCAATTGAACAACGCTTCGTATGACAATTTGAATTATTTGGTATTTTATAAAATTTGCAACTACCGAAAAATAGTAAATATTTAATTTATTTTTGGTTTCACGTTATAAAAACTACGAATTGGCAAGCTTTAAAAAGAATTAGCGGCATAAAATTAAATTATTTTCGCGCAGATTACTAATCAATGTGGTTTTGAAAAGAAAATGTGGTGATTTAATAAAAGGATTCGTTGGCGAAAAATTTGTTTTTCATTTAAAGATTTTCCGAGCGAATTAAACGCTTTGCATCGAAACTATAGCCTTCAGATAATACTTGTCAACTATTTAAAAATTAATTTAGAGAGACATACCAAAAAAAAAGACCTATTCGCCTATGTACTACTTGTCGATTAGCCGTTTTCAATTCGCGATTTCTTTTCTTAATTAACGAATAGTTCGTATGGCGAAACAAGAATAAGGTTGACGAGTAGAGGCGAACACAAGCGAGTAGATCGCAGTTTGATCTTTTATTGTGAATGTACCCGTAAAGCAATCACTGAACTCTCTATGACAATACATTCAACTAGCCCAAAATCATCACGGTAAAGTACTCGAACGAGCAACGCTTAGTAATAAGTAAAATATTCTATACAAACTCCAAATAGGTGACTGAAACTCTTATAGCGTTAACCCCGACTTTCGGTCGTATTTCTCGTCCGAGGGGAAAAAAATTTGAGCGTACACATGCGTTGCTAGATGTTTCCATGTGCGAGAGAGGCAAAGCGTTAATCGAAGAACCGCGAAAAATGCGCCCTATAAGCATGCGCCGCAAACAATCTAAATCAGTCAATTACAACATCGTCCAGACTACGCTATGCCGAATTTTTTTCCGGTTCCTACTGTACACCCTTATCAAACCAAGTTAATCCAAGACTAAGCCACTTTATATTAAGAAGCGACGTACGTTTCCAGAATTGGAATGTTGGAAGAAAACTAAGACCATCTTCGCAACGTTAAGCATACATACATACTCAGTGATGAAGAAACACAACTTAAAGTATAAAAAATAACTGTATGCCGTGGTGTCTACAAGGTCGCCTCATTGGGCATTTTTTGCCGTTGGAAAAAATGACCGCCACGTTACAGTCAATTAAAACCGCAACAGAGACATGATGCAGCGTTATACGAGCATCCTTTGTCAATTGTCCAAAAACGTCTTATACCGAGAAATAGGCATGCCAATTGGCGAGGTAAATCAGCTCAGAGATAATAAAAATCGAGAAATAGCGACCGTTCCCGTCGAAAATTGGTTTCAACAAAACCACCGCTGCAGACATGCCCTTTGTCGGCACTTTATCAAAATCGAATTTCACTCATAAATACTTTGGTTGTACCTTAGCCAATGAAACACTTTTAGAAAAATTTTCAAATGGTTTTGCGTTTTACTAAAAAAAAATTGTCAAGACCTTAGTGTACCCCTTTACTTGAATTCCTTAAAAAAAATATCAAGCTACAATCACCTACAATATCAAAGTTCATTTTAAGGAGGAACGTGGAGAAACTCGGGTACGTTGTAATAGCTTCTGCAGGAGCTAAAAAAAAAAACGAGGATCAGCCTCAAACAGGAACTTTGTTAATGCCATGCACTTTCGAGGAGGAAACTGAGGTACCCGAGGCTTTCGATTTAATAATATTTCCATTTGAAACGATCAAAACTAGTAAATATAGGAACCATTTATTCGAAGATGTTTATCAGTTCTTGGGGAAATGCAAACTCAGAAAATACAGTTTGATTATGTAACGTTGGCTTTTAGACCAAAACGCATGGTTAAGTGAAGGGTTAGGATGTTATATGATACGCCCTTTGAATTTTATGATAAATCCGAGATGACTATTATTTAAGAGGTTGTTAAAACAATTTCTTGTAATCATTGAAAAAAGTCGCATTAAATGAAAATTTAAATAACGGTTGAGGAAAGTGATAATAAATACAGAGAAAATTGGACAATGATACAACAAATATTTAAAGGAAAACTAAACGATACTTAAATGAAGAAGTCAAAAGCAACAAAAACCAATACCCAAAAATACAGCAGAAAACACCGAGCCATAAATTAAAGAAAGATTATCTAATTGTGAGTTAGATTTCAAGAAAATTCTTAAATTTTTTGTTAAAAGTCTAGACAAAAGCTCAAACTTAATAGAAAAGATCGAAATCAAAGAAAGCCAAATATGTATGTAGTTAAGTAGTTATGAATGTAAGCATGTGTGTGTGTGTGCGTGTACTTTTCGTTGTTATCATCGTTGGATAGAGTGTCGACAATAATGTTAGTGATGGTAGTGATAACGTTGGTGACAGTGACGGTGATGAAGATGAAGATGTCGATGTCGATGTTGTTGATGATGTTGTGGAGGTGGAGGTAATGTTAATCTTGTTGGCATTGGTGTTGGTGGTGAAGGTTTTTTTGGCGGATGTGTTGATGGCATTATTGGTTAGGTTCATGAAGTTGGGTTTGTTATGAAATCTGGACGAAATGGATTTTGGTAGTGTTGTTGCGGTACGCATGAATTTTGTTGGCATGGTTGTTGTTATTGGAGTGTTTTCATTTTTTGTGCTAGATGCAGTTGCTGTTGTTTCATTTGTTTTTAACGTTGTGGTTACGGGTAATAACATCTCACCTGCTGGTAATCTCTCTTCTCCATCTTTGACGGCTGTTGGGTTTGGGCGCGTTTCAGGTTTTTCGAATTTCGTATTTTTTTTTTTTTTTTATAAATTTTGCGGTTGGATGCATGAATGGATGGGGTTGGTGCCACCACAATATGTCAAATGTACACATGAACACGTTTGTTTGTGTGTGTGTATGTGTGTGTGTGTGTGTGCATTGGGTATATTTTTATAGATGCACGTTGAAGTGATTATTTTTTTTTTTTGGATTGTCAGCGGTAAGTGATATGGGTACACACAAATATTTTTCCAAAATTCAATTCAAGCAGATGTTTCGATCAATCGATTGTTGTTGCGTCACATTTTGATGGGTTGGGTTGATGGTATTGAAGCATGGTTATTTTTATTTTTAATGTTTATCAATATTGTGTGCAAGAGAAAGAGAGAGAGGGAGAGAGCAAAACAGACACAATTATGTAGATTACTCATACATACATACGCATACCTAATAAATGCTATGATGTTTATAAATATACCTACATACATAAATACATATCTACATACATACATAGGTACATAATATAGCTTCAATAAATTAAGAAACAATTAGTCTATTTTAATTACAAAGCGCCGCGCTGAAATACTTGCGTCCCAAAACAATTGCACTTCCAGTCGAGAGCCCTCCAGAAAATGTATCCAATTACAAAGTGTCTGCAGACACAAGCACACGTATGTATTGGAAACGCTTTCAAAACAATCAAAATATTTGCTGAAAAGTGTTAAGTGGCCGTGGTGATTTGTATTGCCACAGCTGCCACATGCAGCCACCGCCACCGCCTCCGCCTTCATCGCCCCAACCACCTCGAGTACGCCGCGCATATGGCAATGTGCGACAGTTCTCCGTCGCTTAGGCCGAGGGGCACTTCAATGCCGCTTAGTGTGTGTGTGTGTGTGGCATTAAGCGTACTTGATGTTGTAATGCAGCTGGATTTGCAGCTCCAGAAATGTGAAATGTACGAAGGTACTCTCATTTGATTGTTTTATTTTTTTTTTATTACGTATGGTGGCTTTGATTTACATGCAACTTTACATACATACACACTTACATATGTATGCTTGCCACAAAGCGGCATGTATTGAATTGTAAGTAATGTTTTGATTTTTGTTTGCCATCGGACTATAAAATTACTAAATGCTTTTCGTAAATTGCTCTTTATTATTTCCTACGCTAAGTACTTTATCGGTTTCACCTTTATTACACTAAACTGCATTTAATAATAATTAGCATACAAATGATTATTGGCATAGCTTTGTTGCCAATTTATGGCCACGCTTATGAATCGGTTAAGATCGGTAATCGTTTATAAGAGTATATTAATTGGCATCAAAATTGAATAAACGTTCGGTAAGGTGACTAGAGCTGGAAAACTATCGATAGTGTTCCCACTCGATAGTCTCGATAGTTAAAGTTTTGCACAATCGATAGTATCGTATCGTTTTCAATGTGTAATTATGTTCGGAGTTGCACTTTTATATGAACTTTTTCGCTTTATTTACATACTTTCACACATACATATGTATCTGAACGAAAAAGCCTTTGCACCAATAAATTTAAAATTAGAATGACAGATTAGTGGAAATAAAGAAGTAACTATCATAAAGACTATCGATGACGGCTACAACTATCGATAGTACAACCTAAATACGACACTATCGATAGTGACAATAAAAGTTTCGATAGTTTTCCAGCTCTAGACGTAACTCCAACTAATTCGGTTTAGGGGCCCACAGAAGTTAGTAGCGACTGTTAATACGTGGACGAGGCTGAAAGCGGGCATCTGTAACGGAGCATGGATCCCTGTATAAATATGTATGTGAATTCGGCTAGGGACAGGCTACGAAGAAATGACTGCCAGTAAAAAGAGCAAAACAGCCTCGGATGATAACCCTTCACCAATTTGATCCCCACGTTGACGGAATTAAGACTATAATCTACGGATATTAAACAGGAATGTCCAGGACATCTTTAGAGATAGTGAATTTATCCAACTTCTGAATGTTCTCGAAAAATAAATGCCCGAAATTTGGTGTCCCCAAGTTGTTCCTGTTAGTAAGTAAGTAACTTCAGAAACATCTGTTTCCCTTGTGCACACGCCCCAACGGAGTATGTGTATTCGGTTTTATAGACGGAAAATTCACAACCTGCCTCAGTTCGATGTCGGAAAACTGAAGAAACGTCAACAACAAAGTTTTACTCAGACACATTTCCGCACCTACGCTTCAGCCAACTAATATCAGACAATGGACACATTTTTTAATTTGAAAATTTGTGTTTAAGCGAAACCGCCGATGATTTAGTTTGTTAGCAGTTGCTTTCGTTAATAGGATCGTGGTGCATTTTAAATGGCAAGACAATATTTTAGAGCTATTTATTTAGCAAACTACGCCTATATAGGTTTAGATTGTAACTCATTGTAATTATTAGTTAAACAAATGCTTGTAAAATTTTTAGTCAATACTTTTAGCAGTTATGTAAATATATAAGAATTAAATCTCTAGCAAATTTTCGCAATATCAACGAATAAATACTTAGGTACTTGTTATACCTAGTTACACGTACATACATATACATACGAGTAAGTACCATACATACAATCAACTATCTATAGGTATTTGTAAATATTCTTCTCTCCATTAAATCATTTATTTATTAGATAACATTTCGCTTACCTTTCATCTGCATAAAATTCAAATTATCTATGGCCCGCACCAGCGCAGCATCGTCGAGCGTCAAGTCGACAATTGGCGAAACACGTGGAGCGGCATTTGTCACCTCCTGATGCCAGGTCATGTCCGTATTGGCAACACGATTAATCAACATAGAGCCGACCTGTGGGAATGGTTTAGTGCAAGGTGAGGCAGAAAAGTAAGAGCACACCGACATATCCGTAATTAGAAATATGTAAACGGAATTAAGGTGAAATTAGTCAAGAACGTAGAACTTATTCTTCAACGCTGTCTGTATAGGCAGAATTTTGTCGATTACTGGAGCCCTCAGTGTTGCCACTCATCAATGCCTTTTCACAAACTTACCTTTTCAACTAAAATTTTTCGTGCTATAATAGATGCTAGCTAAATATAAACTACTTATTTTTCAACAAAAAACCTTATTCGATAGTAAATTTCAAATATTTTAAAAGCATTTTGAAAGGGAACTTGTAACTTTTTTACCATATGCAAAACTGACGAAGTGGCAACCATCTATAGAAGGAAGACATCGGGCTTCAACTACAGAAAAATTCTGCGGTGTTGAGTTTTCATTTACATGGCGCTCTGGTAAGACAGATCGTGTCAGCTAACTCGGGTTTACGTACAGGTAGGTTTACGTTCTTGACTAATTTCACCTTTATAAAAAAGGAGAGCACAATGTGAATGCGAAATAGAACGCGGAAGCCGATGGAGAATACTTGCGCCCAATGGCGCAGGCCTCGTTAATGTGAAAATTAAAAGATGTGCACATACATACATTCATAGAATATGACAATTGGTGGTACATTAATGTGTCTCATAGTCCACGAAAAAAAAATTATGATCTTTATAAAAATTATAGTTTTTGTTACTGCACTAAAATATTTTGTCTCAAACACTGCCGAAATGGGTTCTTCGCAATGAAAATTGTGTCATTAAACTATGCCTGATAAATGTCTTATATTATAAGATGATACAAACTAAAGCAGTTAAAACAAAACAAGAAATGATTACACTGAGAAAAAATTCAACCAAAAATTGGTTAATACTACCGAACTCAAACTTAAAAAGGCATCAAAATGATTTTGATGCATCCTCCGCGCACTCAGCTATCGCCGCTATATGAAAGCGTATTCAAATGTTCAACTTGAATTAATTTTCTTGGTCGTTTGATTTTGCTCTGCACTCCATAGTTGCTTTTTCATAATAAGGAAAAAACAATTACATGTCGCCTCTGGCGTCACTCGAATCCGAACCTGCTAGAGGCAAAAATATAACAGCACAAACAAACAATAACTTGGTAGAAAAAAACATTGTACTTTTCGCTCAGTGTAATTCTTCACGTAAATTTTTTTTATGTAAAATTATGGTTAAATTAGATTTAGAGGATTCCCTGGGCACAAAAGAGCTAAATATATATTCTCTACCTTCTAAAAACATTTTAATCATTATTTCATGTTGAAAACTTTTACGAATTTAAGCATTTCATAAAATTTTTTGTGAATTCTGGCGAGTCATCTTAATGTACCCACTAATACGCAAACAATGTATCCTTATTCATACATGAACACTTATGTAGGTATGTTATTTTGCAAAGCTATGTCATTATGGCACTTAGCGTGTGTTTACACATTTCTTACATAATTTAGCAGCTACTAATTAGACTTCTACTCTACTTACTTGTAAAAAAGCAGCACTGTCTGTCTCTTTTAGCGCTTCAATACAGAATTGTATTAGTCCAGTGGTTTGTTGCAACTTGCCCGTGCAATTTGATTGCTGATCCTATGTTGAGGGAGTAGAAAAAATAAAAAGGAAGACAAATGAGAAAAGTGAAGAGAAAGACTTTAGTTCATACATTTATGCAGATGGAAAAGCTTTCTTGTTACTTCCAATATAAATAACAGTACAGTGACGGGCATAAAATCATCACAGACAGTTGCGAAAAGTTATAACTAAAAGAAATATATTTTATAAAAGGTATCTGGGTATTAGCTTCCTATCCTCCACATTGTTTTCTGAAAGACATTTCTTCCTTCGGCTTTCTTCATTTTGTTGAAGAAAATAACTATCCTGTGTTCATAGGGTTGAAGTTCAATCCGATTTGATGTCGACATTTGGCGACTATGTTCAGCGCGTTCTGTAGGACTTTAGTGAAGGTGCCTTATCTCTGAATAGGACGACCAGAGTTCATCTACTACTATGAGCCATAATAACACCACTGCCTATTAGCGATGTTTCATATTATCGAAAGTACGCTCAACGTCCAGAATCATCCTACGGTCACCTCCTCCTTCTACATAGACTATTCAATTTTCCTCTTAGGCACTGAAGAACATGAACTGTAGATCTCCATATGACGGTACGACCAATTTATCCTCTTCTTCTGGTACCATCAGCGGGTACCATTGGCCAAGCCATAGGAGTTGTAGTATTTTAATTATCTGCATATGGCTCATCGTTCTATTGTCTGGGCTATTCGTCGACGCTAAGAGTGAGTGCTCGTTGCAATCCAGCACTTTTTGGCAAAAGTGATTCTCTGTTGGATTTCATGACTGACGTTCTTGCCGGTATTAAGGCAGATACCCAAACAAACTAAGTCCTTTTTTTAAACTGTAAAATTCTTTGTGCACTCTTCCCGAGGGGTTTAATATCTTCTTCAGCATGAAATTATACAAGTCGGACGACTTAAACCTTTTTTTTGCGTATAAGTTCCTACCAATTCTAATGGAGCTAGTGATGTTACTTAATATCTTTTACACAACATTGCTAGTACCAAATTCAGATAGGGAGGCGTATATGCTATTTTTTTCGTACTACAAAATGTGGTTTAAAAAAATAAACAAAAATATGGCAAGTGTTGATTCTCCTCTCGCGAGTCTTCTCCGTGAATTAGCGTATGGTAAATACCAGGACTATGGTAAAGCGCCAGTGACAATTCGAAATCAGTTCGTTGACGGTGGGCTTTGCCATTTACATCCATCGGTACAACCAATCAGGCAAATAAAATTTACGTCCTGAACTTATTTCTTGGTTAAGTAGCAAAACCAAATGAAACAAAATGTTCTGTACAAAAGTAACGATTGTTAACGAGTTCGGGTGATTGGATGAAGTGCTTCTCGGATGAAGCTGAGGCTGGGGGGCTAAGTATTCGCGTTTGAGTTATCAGTCTCAGAGTTCGGCATTGATTCTATGTAAGTATAAAATAAGTGCCAAAATCATGACACGTTTGGATTTTGTGCCCGCTACTGTACAACCATTTTTTGTTTACTTCCCAATCCACCTTTACATGTCATTAAACATGCGTACATACATATGTATGTATTTTTTCACGCATCTTACTCACCTTTAATATTCTGATTTTCGTATCCTTATCCATGCGTATGGCCTCGAGTAGATATTCACGGCGGTCGTGTATTGCTTGTATTAAGGCTTCGCATTGTGCCGTCACCAGTCTCTCGAATTCCAAGCAGGACTCCTGCGATGTGGCGATGTGCCAAGCAACAATACAAGGAAGATGAATGAAGAAAATCGAAAATGTGAGTACGGTATGACAGGCAGTGAAAAAAGGAGAATTTAATTAAAATTAAAGGAGTACATTTTAAGCCAAACAACAAAGTTTTTTTTTTT